CACCAGCACCAGCACCAGCACCAGCACCAGCACCAGCACCAGCAGCACCAGAAGAGCGGTCGCCAGAAGGGCGGTCGCCAGGGTCGGGTGTCGACTCCATCAGGCAGACGTGCACACGGACTGATGTGCACGGAGTGCGTTGCGCGGAGTGTATGTGTGTGTGGCACGGACTGCTGCTGTGTGCGTGGGCACGGTTATTTGTGTGGCTGCTGTAAAAGTAGAACAGAAAAACAGAAAAATACCGCGACTCCGTGGGAGAAAAACCGTCACTCCGTGGGAAAAACCGTGACTGCATTGCGGTTTTATCCGTGCTTGTGTGACGGAGTAGCTCAAACCGCTCCGTGAAAAAACCGCTTGTGCGGTTTTTTGGGAAGCCCCACGGAGCGGAGCGGAGCGGTTTATCCGAGGGCAAAATTGTCACGGAGCGGAGCGGTTTTTTTGTTCATGTCACGGAGCGGAGCGGAGCGGTTTTTTCTGGAGGGAAAATCCCACGGAGCGGAGCGGAGCGGTGTAAACCGCTCCGCTCCGCTCCGCTCCGTGGAAAAAAACCGCTCCGTGCAGAACCCTGATTTTTTTCTGTTTCTTCGTGGGGTCGTGTATGTATGCCGGGTTTTGAGACCACGGGCTCCCAATCTCTCTTTTTTAGAGCTAATGTGAGAAACAACAACAACAACAACAACGTCATTGGCTTGTTGGACGAATAGCTCTGGGAAGGCTGGAGCAAGCGAGCAAACTGCTTTTTAATTACACAGGGACCTCGTCGGTGCGTGCGTCTATTTGGAAAAATGTGTGTACATACATGTAGCTCGTCTTGCGTTGCACCGCCGAATGTGAGAAAATCGCAGAGGTTCAATCACGGCAACGACCCTATCGCTTTTTCTTTTTCAATCTGATCGCCACCGAAATCTACGGCTGGTCGTGGAGAGCCAGAATTGTTTTTTCTGGAAGACCCAGCTGTTCAAAACGTGCTCCTCGTAAACTGCAACGTGCGCTCGGTCATGTATGGGAAGCCGAGCCCTCGCTACAAGTACATGGTGATACGCTTGCTTGATGCCATTGCCCATGGGAACTGCTGAGCATAGCCTTTAACGATGAAGTATGCCGCGCTGTGATACTGGTTGCACTGCAGAGAATAGACTAGATTGTAGAGCCTACCGCTTGCAGTACGCAGTTACATTTCCCGGTCGCCGCGGTCAGAGTGTTGGGTAAAGTGTGCGTACTAGCCTTGTGAAGGTTGCGGCTTCGATTTTCTCTTAGGAGGTGCAATTCTGTGGATGAAAATGATGTATCAACCCGTGCGACGGAGGGACTGCTGAACAACCGCTTCTGGAAAAAACGAACATCCAAGAAAGAAATATATGGAGTAGCGAGAAAAGGGATAGTCTAAGGAACTCAACCCGTTCGAAGGGATGCATGCGTTGAAGTCTTCGCAGTGAGGGCTGAGGCACACCGGCTGGATACACCCGTAGCCATTCGGCTCACCCTGCTACGACCTTGTGGGCTAATCGACCCTGTACAAGACCCTGTCGCACCGTGGCAGTGTCCATATCCATGACAAGGTCATACACTGCCACACCCTGGCTAGATATGGGTCTGGGCACGATGGTGTACCAGCATGTTCGCGCGAAAAGGAGACAGAGAGGTACCTCACCACCGAGGAAACGGCACTTATGGACCGTTGTGCGGCACAACAAACACATTTTTTTTTTTCATCTTTTGGACACACACGGCCGGGCATACCCGTAGCCATTCGGCTACCCCTCCAGGGTTACGGGGGAGGACCTCGTGCAGGGCACCAGATTTTGCAGCTACACAGGGTGCCACATTCTAAGGTGTCCCAGGGCTACGACCTTGACAAGGTGTCGCTTAGGTTGCCACCTTGACAGGGCCGGGGTGTCCTGGAACCTTGTCAG